TAATCCATGGGAATTGGAGCCGGAGGGGGAGAAACCGCTGGGTTGGGGAAAGACAGGTGGCGGGGGGGGGCCTCGAACAGCTTGTACCGGTCCGTGCCAGGGGGGTAAATGTGGTGGCGGTGATGGGCCGGTGAAAACTCAGCTGGTGATCGATTCAGCCCGGGGGGTGTAAACTGCGGGAATTGCAGCAGGAGGGGGAGGAACCACGGGGAAAAAAATCACTGCTAGCAGGGGGGTAGCCCAACACAGTCTCAGTGACAATGTCAGACTGGCCGGCTGGATACAGGGAGTTGAGCTGTAGCGAGCGTGGCTTTACAGACGCGGAAGTGCTAGCGTCTGCGATACACTGGCTTCCGGTTTGATCTAGGAATCCCCGAGCGTCCGAGCGTCAATGAAGTGACACGGAGATGCTGGGTTTTCCAGAGGTAAGTAATAGAGCTTACTGTGAGTAGACAGTTTGCCGGATGGATAGATTGATTGGATACTCTGATCATGGATCTGAAGAAACGATGACTGAGTGGTGAGCTGGAGAGGCGACTTCCGTATATAGCCGCGGTTAGTGACGTGGGCGTGACGTGGAGGAATCCCCGCGAGGAGCATGCAGGGGGTTGTGGTCCAGGGTGGAGACTGGCTAGCTGGAAGAGGCTGGTTTGGGGACTTGGGCTCTGACAGACAATAATAATGATGATGGCTGGGTTAGTTTGGGAGAAGAGGAACAGTATTCCAAGTGGATCAGGCATTTTGATGAGCCAGTTGCATACTGTGGAGACAGGGATCTGTCAAATTCAGAACACATTGATTTTCTGTCAGTTTTTTTGGATGAGGAATTCTGGACCCTCATCACAACTGAAACTAACCGATATGCTCACCAGTATTTAGAGAGGGAGGAACTGAAATCTAGCTCCAGATATAATGACTGGTACGATGTAACTGTCCCAGAAATGAAAGCATTCATTACCATTCAGTTCTGCATGGGGCTTGTGGAAAAGCCTGAGACTGAGGATTTTATACCAAAGAAGGGATGAGTGAAATGTGTTCATGACACTGAAGCACCAAAAAACAGTGTTCTTGATTGATACGCAGTAAACATAACAAAATACCAATAAAGTAATAAATATTATATATATACATACATAGTTATATATGTCTACATAGGAATATGTATATATGTATCATAAACAATCACAACACAAAGAAAATAAGACAAAAACATAAAAAATAAATAAATAAATCTGCAAATGTGACGCAATCCAATATGGCTGCCATCTGATGACATCATAATATGCAAATTATGTGAGTGAATTTGTTCCTATCACAAAACTTGGCTCATACTGAAGATTTTTCTTATTTACAATATTCCTCTATCTCTAACCAGATTTAAGCTACAAGCTCTTTAAATAGTGATATAAAAAATTCATATTTTACTGAAAAAACTATGGCGCCTAAAGTGTTAATTGAGTTTGAGTAAAATTTTTAATGGAGGCATCAGCATTAGACCATAAAAGCATAAAGTGGAGTTTTAAGGCCAAATCCTGAGAATAACCCAATTAACACGTAAAGATGAAAGGAATTTCTAGTTGTATTCTTGCAGCTGGGTTCAGTTTGTTGATTTGCATTTACATTAAATCTAATACATTATTTGGGAAATGCAATGTGCATTTGCTACAAACAACGGTCACCCAGCAAATCGTCTTTCTTTTAAGTTAAATTTTTATTCCAATAAAATTATAAACTAATAATCAAACTTACCTGCATGAACTTTAAGGTCTTCTATTTTCAGAAGGTATCATATCAAACCATTAAATTTGTTGAAGTGTTATTCTAATAAAATGATATATGTTAATTTGGGAAGTCATTTCACAGTTTTTCTCCGTTGGTTTGGCTCATTTCTTGAAACAGAAATTACATTCTCAAAATAACATGGACAAACCTCCAAACCTCTTGCCAAATGTTCACAACAGAATGGCATTTCGCATTCATTTTATCAAATGGCACATGCCTTAGTACATGTTTCAATTGTCTCGGTGCATCTTTGGAAATGAGTATGTAGCCTACAGTTATAGTTAGCCGACATTTAGCACATTTTCCAAATGAATAGATCTTGTAGATCTAAACTGATTAGTTGATTCTCAGTCTAATGATCATTCTCACCAAAACATGTCAGCATGATTTCATTGTATAAGCGTCACACCCTGTCCTGTCTCCCCATTCTGTTCAGTCACGTGTCTCTGTTAATTGCTCCCACCTGCCTCTCGTTTTCCGGTCATCGCCGGTCCTGCCCTCGCCAGGCGCAAGCCTCCCAAAGCCCCTCGCCGTCTCCTCCTCTGCCCCAGACGCAGGCCCCCGGATTCTACTGGTCCCTGCCTCTTCTCCACTGGTCCCTCGGTTCCTCTCGGCCCTCCTTCCTGGTCCCCCTCCTCCCGCCTTGCTCTTTTTTCCTGTGGGCATCTGGAATCCGCTCCCACCTGCCTCTCGTTTTCCAATCACCCAAGCTCCCAGCCCTCATGTATTTAAACCCTCTCAGTTCTGTGTGTTTTGTCGGTTCATTGTTTCCATGTCCTTCGTGAGTTTATCATTAAAAACCTTTTACACTTTCCAGTTTGTCTGCCTGCCTGCTTCCTCCCCAGCATTTGGATCCTCACCTACGCTTCACTCACCAGCATGTGTGACAATGAGGGCTTGCATGCACAACTGTCTGTTCAATTGTCAGAATTGGTCAAGAACATAATACCGTGAATACCATATATGAATTTCTTTGAACATTTGATGCATTGATGACAGTCATTGACAGTCAGGTGAAACTAGACTAACAAATGGGGAGCGTCACACACAGGTGTTTTCCATGATCGTGTGTTGCCATTTCTGAAAATGGTGTGGCCGCTCACATCCCCGGTATTCGCCCATACAACACACACAAGCTCCTCATCTTCTTGGATCGCCTTTATACTGATTTTATCCCTGAAAATGAGAGAGGTCTCACAGGGCATCACCTACCCATTTATGTAATTGTTTGGGACAATGTCAATTTCCACCATTGCTCACTCATTAGGGGCTGGTTTGCAATGAATCCAAGGATGGTCATGGAATTCCTACCACCTTACTCTCCTTTCCTCAATCGGATAGAGGAGTTTTTCTCTGCTTGGAGGTGGAGAGTGTATGAGCATCATGCTCAGGATCAGCTGTCCCTGCTCCATGCTATGATGCAGCGTGTGACAACATTACAGGAGGTCAATGCAGGGGATGGTTGCAGCATGTACGCCATTTCTTCCCTCGTTGCATCGCAAGAGAAAGTATCCGCTGTGATGTGGACGAGAATCTGTGGCCAGACGGACAACAGCGTGTAAATAATCAAGAGGGTGAAGACAGTGGACAAGAGTGGGAGAATGAGTACAGCGACCACTGAATACATCCTTGTTTTTTGATTTTGTGTTCATACAATTTACTGTATTACTGTAATGTACTTTTTTTTACACATGTATGAAACTTTCTTTGCGTGTGAATAAAAAATGGTTGTAATTTCCTTGGTAGTGTGAGTGCAATCTGTGATGTCAAACCTTGGAGGCCACTCTTTTCGGTTGTATATTGTTGGTCCTCTGCCATAGTGACAAAACATCTAAACATTTGTGTAGCAGTACTCACACAATGCCAAAGGGACGATGCATTTTGAGGGCACTGACCATTCAGATCACAAAGAAATCTAGTTTTGACATATGAGTGAACTATTTTAGGAGAGATATGAGCTTTTGCAGGTAAACCATGTTGTTGTGATCAACCATCCAGGTTTATTTTGGCAAAAGCACCAAGAATGATGAGAATGTCCGATCTGTGTTGAGAAATGAGCCAAAGCTATTGAGAAAGATCTTTGCCATTTTGGAGACACTGACTGTTTAATTGAGAAAGGCATTTAGATTGAAGCCTGAGTGAACAGTTTTGGAAGTGATATGAGCTTCTGCAGGTGAGCTATAGTGTTGTGCTAAACTGTAAGAGTGTTTTGCCAAATGATCTTAGAGGTTTGAGAATGTAATTTCTGTTTCAAGAAATGAGTCAAACAAATGGAGAAAAACTGTAATATTTATTTCAAATTCTCAAAGCATTTTCATTGTTCCTGAGATTTCTTTCTATATTTTTTGATAGTCAACATCTTGCTCAACAGATCTTTACTTTTTATATAAATGATGTTTTGTTTTATTTCAATCTATTTGAAACTACCTTTTTATTGTCAAAATGACCCATTTTTCCTGTGAAATTCTGAGAGCTATCTCAGTTTATTAAGAAATGTACCATATTTCCACGTACGTATTTGGTTTTCGGCATGGATGGCTGGCTGGATGGTTGAATGGATGGATGAATGGATGGGTGGAAAGATGCATAGATGAATGAATGGATGGATAGATGCATAGATGGATGAATGTGTGCATGGATGAATAGATGGATAAAAGAATGGATGAATGAATGAATGAATAGATGCATAGATGAATAGATGGATAGAATAATGAACGAGTGAATGCATTTATGCATGGATGAATGGATGCATGGATCAATGAATGGATGGATGGATGGATGGATGGATGGGTGGATGAATGCATAGATGAATAGATGGATAGAAGAATGGATGGGTGGATGCATGGATGGATGGATGGATGACTAAATGCATGGATAGATGGATAGATAAATGAATGGATGAATGGATGGGTGGATAGATGGATCAATGACTAGATGCATGCATGGATGGATAGATAGATGAATGGATAAAAGGGTGGGTGGACAGATAGATGGATGAATAGATGAATGTCAGTTGTAAGATCTGATAAAGTGAAAGTTTTATCTCATTAAAATCCTTGACTCAGCCGGCAGGTTCACATTAGTTTATAATAACTCAGCTGATTTACAGATGAATAATTGATCATTAGACTGTAAATATTTGTCATAATTTCTGCATGAACACACAAAAGTCACAAACAAGCAAGCTATAAATGACTTGTCTATTATGTGATTCACAGAGCTGTGTCACAGCCCACTGGTATTGAGTTTATCCCCGTCATCCTTCAGAAGCTCCTCTCAGTTTTCCAGCAGTCACGGGCCGGGCTTTGCCAAGCTGAACCGGAGGGAAGGTGAGCACCATTACTGCAGATTCACAGTTGAAAATTTTTTTGGGTAAATAATTTACACACAATTAACCTTAAAGTGTTTCTAAAAGAACATGTTTAACAATTTTCAATGAACTGTTGATGACAGCTGAGATATTAACTTTGTGCTTCTGGTACAACCCATATGTTTTATGAACATACATTTTCTACAATATAAAAAATGTTTTCACTTGGTTGGATTTTCCCCTGACTTCCTACCACTACAATGCACAGTGCATGCTGTTGCATCTGTAATGCTCCAGTTTTACCTGCTCCAGCTCAGCATTAAATTTGCAAAGCAAACAACACAATTATATGTTGATGTACACATGCTCATGACATTCAGGAGGTTTTAGCAATTTGAAGCCATCTGATTGCAGTTTTTCCTCACTGCTCAATCTAAAATTGGACTTAGCAAGCTCAAAAGGGACAGAGAAAATATTTCTTTTTTAAAGAGCTGACTGCAGGTCTTAACCATCGAGAGACATTTTGCGATTTACAGACCAGTAGAGCATCAAAGGGAAGGGTGTTGGGATCAACTCACAACTTTGGGCTTTAGCCAGCTGATTTATTAGCTTGTGGATGTGACGTTCTGTTTCTTAAAATGCTCTATTGTCAGTTGTTTAATTCTGAGTGTAAAATGGCAATAGCACAATATTTTAATCTGGCAGTGATTGCTGGGATCTTTCCTGACCCACCTGGCCTTTTTTATGAAGACAGTTGTCAGTAGAAGCTTCTCTTCCACATTAGTTTCCCCTGAGAAGCAATAAACCAGCAGCTCTCAAGAGCCGCTGAATATTTCACACGTGTTAAAAACAGCATAGCTCTTCCATAATCAGATGATTGTGCACAGCAGGAATTTAACATGGGCAGACGTTCCTCCAGGTGCATGCTTAAACTCCCTCAGCAGGCTGCACAGCACAGTTAGGTTAGCAGCCCAGAACGCGGCTCAAATATCCCTTCAGGGGGATTTGAGAAATAAACAGAGACGCAAAGCCCTGAAATGCACTTTCAGTAGACATGGGGTCCAATGGGTTTAATTGATCCTTATTCTAATTAGGGATGGACCAATATATATCAGGCTGGTATTTAACGTTTTTTATGTATCGCATCAATTAAAAGTCATGCACACCTGCAGACAGCCCGGTGCTGCTGCTGAATTTTATCTAATTGTATATTTCCGTTCCTGAAAAACAACTTCTTAAAGACACAATAGCAAATTAGAAAATCAAATTAACTTAAAACATTTCTTCATGCCTCTTAACAACGTTCTAACATAGTATAGCTATGAATATAAAGCGGAGCTAAAAAAATAAGTAAAAAACCAAGTTGTTATTTTGCATTTTTTCTAAAAACCTCTGCCAACAGTTCTTTCCGACCGAAGTGTTGTGCATCCACTGCTGGTATTAGTGACTTTTTAACCCTCTCAGGCTCAAAATAAGTGTTGATAAAAGGATGAACAACTAAGTCCTTCAGGGGTACTTCTGAGTTAAAAAATGCTTATGAAATGCATATGTGGAGTAACCTGGTAGGTAGGTTTTAACTGTTGCAAATCTGCACTGCCTGCCTCCAGAGGGTTAACATGCAAATATGGTCAAAAATGCCTGAATATCAGCCATCAGCTATCCATGACCTCTACATATCGATATTGATATTGCTAATAAAAACAAACAACACTGGTCGATTGCTAAATCTTGAAGTTCTTGACTTTGGTTTTAAAGCTGCAGATCATCAAAGCTGTTATAGTCCTGTAATTATTCCACTTCTGCACTTTGAGGCCAAGCCTATGATTTGCTGACACACAGCTCAGTGGGTAGCCATCATCAAGCCAACCTTATACTCCTCCACACCCCAGGATGCGTACATCTCTGAGCTGAAACAGAATACGATGAGTTGAAACATGGGTGAAGTTCAGTTACACGTCAGATCTGAATGGTCAGTAAAGAAGTGCTGTTCATGCAGAATGAGAGAAGGCTCAGACATCTGCTGAGTAACGCATCCAACATTTAGCAGTTTTGCATCAATAAATCATGGGTGCATCCAAGTTTTCTTTACTTCGGGATCCCAGGAGTTTTCAGTGGTTACCCAGATCAGATGAGGAATACAAAGATGCTCCCTGCTGTTTCTACTCATCGTGACACAACACACAACATCAAAGATAAATCTCACTTGGATTCACATCAACCAGCTCCTCACCATGTGACTGCAGGACCAAAACATAGAGAGCATGGTGCTAAGTGCTTCTGTTTTGCTGTGTTTGGGTGAATGTTTCCCGAGTATTAGAGAAAAAGATGGAGGTTAAATATGAATATATATTTTTTGACACATTAAAAAGGAAACAGTATGTTGTTAATGTCTATGTTTGATTCTGTTTGAGCTGCACATAAAATACGATGTTTCTTTACAGGCTTCTGAAAATGTTATTTGACAAACTAAATCAGTTAAACTAAAAGCACAGTTATCTTGTTTTATTTTTATTCTCACTGGAAATTTATATTGATGATCCACTTGAAAACAAGAAGGTTCATCTTAAGTGGTTTTATCATCCTGAAAAAGAAGTTTATAAGTAAACATAAAAGCAAGAAATAAAGATAAAACATGCAAATGTCACTGAAAATTTACTTCAGTAATCACACTTTTTCGCTGATGAATTATAAAATATGTGAACAACAATGCCAATCTGGAGGCAAAACAATACCTTTTCATTAAAACAATTTTAGAGTAACATCGAGTTGTTTCCTGCTCCTCTTCTCTACTGGTTGAAAGTGAAATTACAACTGTCATAAGCAACCCAGCTGTAGCTAGTGCTAACAACAAGCTAACACCGACATGAGCTAACTAATGCTAAAATAAACTACACAGTAAAAAGATTCCCACTGTTGGACAAACTATACTGGGTGTTTCTCAATGTCAAGACGCCTGGCCTAGCAAGGTGATGTCTTGCTAGGCCAGGCGCCTTGCTTACAAGGACAAGTCCTTTCATGGTCAAAGAAAACGGAACAGACTCACATCACATGACCTTAGCGGTCACATCACGTGACACAAGAGGTAAAGTTTTATATGTTTAACTTTCAGTATAAATGTAAGGAGCCTTTCACTTTTTAAATTGTGTACATATTGATTAAATTAAATATGTAAGCAAGTTACTACTTGCTAGCCACAAAAGCTGCAACTCCTAAGCAACCAACCAACTATAGATAACTGCTTTGTTCTAAAAAACATAGATATCAGCCCGATAGCTACAATTAGTAGACTTACATTTAACTGGCCCCTGATCCGCCATCCTTTTGAAAATACATTTATTTAGTCTGGCCTTGCCTGTTGCCGGTGTCTGCAGCTCCGCTGTGTCGGACAAACTAAACACTCCTCTCACTCACACCGAGTTCACTCAGCTATTTTCTGACGTTGAAGCCCAGAAACGGAGATTCTAGCCGCTCAGTAATGTGTTCATGACTGAAAGAGAAAGTTTTCCAACTAACTTCCAGACAGAGCTGATATAACTCCAGCGAGCAGCGACACGCCCAAATCAGCATGACTCTGTGGTTGCTGTCGTGTTTCCTCCCCGACACACAACAACGTGGTCAAGTTGCTCAGACATGTTCAGCAGCACAAACCTATGTGAGCACCTGTTGTCATCTAATGTTGTCATTATTATGATGAAGATGAACAAAACAACAGGAGTCTCCTCCTCAGCTCAGATCAACCCCATGATGCAGGTATCTGGCTGGAACAGGTGAGCATCACAGTAAACCAGTAGAGCAAACAGAGCTTTAAATATGTTGGTTTTATGCTCTTTTTCTGCTCCAAAACATGAAAGTTAACAGGTGAGATGTTGCATTTTCATTTAAGATAAAATGATATTTTTATTTTGTTGTTGGCCCGTGAGAAAAGATTTAACCTACAGTAAACAGGAAGTGGAAAGGCTGCAGATAGATGAATAGAATAGAAAATCCCTTTATTGTTCCTCAGTGGGGAAAGCTAGACGTCACAGCAGCGATGACACTTATTACAGGAGAAAAAAGGAGAATAAAAATAAGAAAAATGAATAAACAAGAAAACATAAATCCAGAATAGATTTAAAAAATACTGATTATACCACAAGTAATGAATACCACTGATGCCTTTTATTTCAAACTGACTTGCTCGTGTGTAATTTTGTTATTCCACATTCAGTGTTAATGCAGAAATAAGTTTGTTTCCAAATTTAAAGGTTCAAAATTGCATGCATGTTGATAAAGAAAATGTGCAAATTTGCCGTCACTTTTTCAAAAAATATTAAGTTTGGCCCTCGACTCCGTCCCAGAGTTTCATTTCGTCCCCGTGTGAGTTTGAGTTTGACACCCCTGCTCTAGCGGATAAGAGGGGGAACTGCAATTTATGTCACGTCAGTGTTGGCTTCACTTTTGGCAGGCAGAGCTGGCCCCTTGGCTGAGACACACCTGATTTAAACTGTTTAATTATCTCCTTAGCCTTCGTCGGGTTCTGAAGGAACTAGTCTGACTGCTAGTCACTCGTTTTAATGAAACGTGCAGTGTTCAAGCGGGGAACACCTAAAACTGGCAGGAATCCGACACTTGATGGTAGCACACCTATGCTATTACTACAACATGGCTAAAGCAATGGTCTGATGTTGAATTGCTAATCACTTAGCTTTAATACATAAAAGAGAAATCCATTTGACACCCCCCCCCCTTTTTTTTTTTTACAGCTAGCTTTAAGTGTACTGGCATTAATTCAGTGCAGGTCAAGTCAGCTTTCAAGCTAGGTTGTGTGCTAATCTGATAGGCACATCAGTGCATCACCGCATATGCTGGGGACTGGGGAGCATTCTTGTTGCTTCCCTCTTTTGGATGTATTAAAAAATACCTACATGCCCCAGCTTTAATGTTTACAACACAGTCAGACTGAACAAAACTCAAATTTGAAAGTAATAAAGGAAACACACAGCAAACCCACACATCACATGTTATTTATTTTAAAAATCTCAGCTGTTCCCTGAAGAAATCAGTGAGTAAATGAGCTTTTCTTACAAGCTGATCTCTCCGCCAGCTGTCACCATTTCGCTCCTCATTCAACTCTGCAGTCAATCTATGTGGAGATTCTTCCTTCAATTTTAATTTAATAGCAAAATGCAAAGGGACTCACACATCTGCTTAACCCTCTGGAGGCAGGCGTTGCAGAATTGCAACGTTAAAACCTACCTACCTGGTTGCTCCACATACGTATTTCATGAGCATTTTTTAACTCAGAAGTACCCCTGAAGGACTCAGTTGTTCGTCCTTTTATCAAGACTTATTTTGAGCCTGAGAGGGTTAAGAAAAAGAGCCAGATAATTGTTGCTTCTTCCAAGAGATTTTTTTCTCAAATCTTTGGCATGTTCTGTAAATACTTGATATATTTAAACTCGTGAAACAGCAACACATCCAGTTGTTCACAAAAGATTAGAGTGTTTTGATATCTTCAACATGTTTTTGATTGTAGATTAAAGGCATTCTGTGCGACAGGGTTACTGAAATGTCACTCAAACACCTACCGCCCTTTGTAGCCAGAATATTGCCCTTGCAACTTCAGAGTGGCGGTCCAGTCACTGTTGGACTTAGAAAAAGTGAAGCTGACATGCCTGGTGCTGCAGCCTGTTTACGACATGTTTCTTCATTGTTTTTAGATCATGGACAAATCTGACTGGTTTGATTTAGTATTGAACCGCTCCTGTAGAAACTAATGAAGTCTGATGAGATGTTTCAGGATTTAGATTAAGATGTTAAAAAGACAAACACACAGCGAGGAGATAAGTTTCATTTTGATTTTACAAACTGGACAATAGGCGGTCCTAAAAGCAAGGCAAAACGGCAAAGTCTCTCTTTAAAGTGACAATGTGTATTTTCCTTGGCGATAGGGGTCAGTACATAACTAAATCTTTGCTAGCCAGCTGTATTTTTGTGTTCGAGTACCGATGGCCATTAGGGTCAAAAATCCCTGAGAGCGCAACCTCCAGCAAAATGACCTTTCATCACTGGCAACGAGTGAAGAGGTAAATGTGCAAAACAATGTTTATGAATAGCTAAAGTTTTGTAACCATTTTTTGCAAATCAGTAAATGCATTTGGTTCTCATGGGCTCCCATAGAAGGAAACATGGCGTCGCCCAGAGACGCCAGAGACTTAGACCCGCTTCCATGTATTTTAGATTTTTAAGGTTATATGTGACAAAGCCGCCAATATTTTTCAATAATTGAGCATCTTTTATTCGTTTTCAACAAATCTTGATGGATATTGCCAGAGATAAATGGTAAAAATTCCATATTGTCTCTTTAAATGATAACAAATGGTAACTTTATGGCGATTTTCTCATAATAAAACAGAAATGGGTGCTTTTCCTAAATTAGTTTCAGAAAGGTTTGTAAAACATTCCTGTTAAATAACATTTCAATCTTTTTGAAAATCTTATAGATACTTTTAGGAAAAGCATTTGAATACTATGTAAAAAAAAAACCACTGTTATTTATTTATTTTTCCTGTTTCATTGCTAAGACTTTTGTTTAAACTTCCCAGGAGCAGGAGGTTGGTCTCCTATGGACTCAGATGAATATCAGTGGTTGGAGGTCGACCTCGGCGAGAGGAAACAAGTCACCGCTGTTGCTACGCAAGGTCGCTATGGGAGCTCTGACTGGCAGACGGCCTACCGCCTGATGTTCAGCGACGCAGGGCACAACTGGAGACAGTATCGACAGGAGGGCAGCATAGGGGTGAGACTAAGAAGACAAAAAAGGACAAAATGACAAAAGTCTAAAGAAGGGAAAGGGTATTTTAAGTTAATCAATGAAACACTACAAAATCTTTATTGTTGTCATTTGTAAGGTCTTTTCTGGCAACAGTAATGCAGACAGCGTGGTCCAGCACAAACTCCAGCAGCCAGTGGTCACTCGCTACGTTCGTCTGGTGCCTCTGCACTGGAATCCAAAAGGTCGGATTGGACTCAGGCTGGAGACCTATGGATGTCCTTACAGTTAGTTTGACACTTTTTAACTCAAAACATCCAGGCTTTAGTTTCGCCTCAAAGACCCAGTTACTTTTTCTTTCACATCACGAGGCAGAATCCGTCAAACATTTTATTTGTTTTATGTCTGTTCACATTTCAGCTGCAATTTTACGGAATAAAAGTCTGTATTTTGATGCATTTTGCTATTACTGAATCAAGACATTTACATGTATTTTATTTACTTTAGAAGAATTTCAGACTTGACAGATGTTTATTTATTGTTATGCAAAAATGGCCTGATTTCAGTTAAAACTATTTAAACATAAAGTCTATCATTGAGAAAATAAAGATAAGTCGTATGCAACATACTCATAGTGAGAATTTTAAGATTGCTTGTATCAGGACATTAGATATTTCCCAGGTTTAAAAATTCACATGAATACATAATCAGGACATGAACAATGCATCACACATTACATTTATTATTTATTTGGCAATAGCTCAAAAAGAAAAAAGCACGGTGCGGCATAACAGGGACACACAGTGATCACATTAATCATGATAACCTAATTCAAACACGTTCTGTATAACTTTATCTGTTTCTGACAACAATTTGGAGGAATTTTGTCCTTTTTCCTCCAAATAATGTGTCTATGTATATTCCTCAAAATGGCAGCTGTCAGATTAGAATAAATGCATCAAATGCAAAAATGTATTCATTATAATCGAAAGTTGTTATTTCGTGCTTCAGTAGTGACTGAAGTGAAGTGACTATCAACCTTAATCTATCTATTGACCTATTAATCTATCAATCTATCTATCAACATTTCTATCAATCTATGAATCTATCTATCTCCCTATCTCCCTATCTCCCTATCTATCTATCATCTATCTATCTATCTATCTATCTATCTATCTATCTATCTATCTATCTATCTATCTATCTATCTATCTATCTATCTATCATCTATCTATCTATCTATCTATCTATCTATCTATCTATCTATCTATCTATCTATATCTTTAGATCTACCTCAAATATCGTCACTTTCATGGCCTTCTATTGGCGGTTCTAGGGGCGGGGTCACAGGAGCATTGCCCCCTGCTGAAATCTTATTGGCCCCCTGAAGTGGCCCTGTCCTAACACTCATCTATCATTTATGTGATGATCAGATTATAAATGAGTGCAATTCCAACAGGGGTGCCTCCAGAAAATTTAGATGGGGTGGCCAGACGGGGCCAAATAACTTTTTGGGCTGGCACACCAAATTGGTCCTTGTGGTAACTCTGGGAGAGTTTAGCCTGTGGTGATGTATTGCATTGCTCCTTTATTCGTTTTTACAAAAATTTTCTAGGGGTGGCCACCCCTGACCTTTCCTTGGGAGGGGGGACCATTGAATTCTAAGTCCAAGCACTAGAGGTGCTAATGATACAAATAGGAATTTTCAGTGTGAAATGTTGTGTACGGATGTTGGATAAATACTTATCCGGTCTGTAATTATTGTGGCCCTTTGATGGCCCCTTTCTCAGAAAAATCCTAGATCCACCACTGTTTATATAAAATCTCATGTTTCTGTTCCATCCAAAATATTTACACAGCTGACCTTTAGGATTAGTTTCATAATAGCCTCTGTAACATTTGGTAAATTTCAGATTTGTTGTTTTTTAGATTCAGACGTGGTGAGCTTGGATGGTCACAGCAGCCTTTGCTTCAGACTGAGTCCAATGCAGATGTCCAGCAGAAGCCTCTTTGTGAAATTCAAAAGCATGAAGAACTCTGGGGTTTTGCTTCACACAGAAGGACAGAATGACCACAGCCTCACTCTGGAGTTAAATGAAGGGAGGCTTCTCCTGCTGCTCAGAAAAGGTACTGCTGGAAAATATTTCTCATGCCTCCCAAATCACATGTGTTTGGTCTGCACACATCTATTTGCCCTTTTCTGGGGGAGCAGAAGGCTCTGTATCTGCGCTATTGGACTGTTTAAGAGAAGTGAAGTCACGGATGGCTGCTAACTTCCCCTTTCTAAATGAGGTTATAATACTCAGCTCTAGTAAAAGAGCTGGAGCAGCTGATGAGACTGATTTTGATTCCATGACACAATATAAGAAGAATGTGGTCCCTAATTTAGGGGTGAAAATTGATGCAGCCCTTAGATTTGATGCACAAATAAACATGGCTGTTTTTTTTAATATGAGACGGCTGTCCAAGATGAAGCCTCTCCTGTCCAGAGTACATCTGGAAACAGTAGTATACGCCTGTATCATGTCCCGCATTGACTACTGTAACGCGTTGTATGCTGGACTGAGTCATGCTGCTACTACTGCATGACTCCAGCTAGTCCAAAACTCTGCTGCGAGATGTTTGACTGGGATCAGAAGGAGAGACCACATCACACCAGAGCTAGCTCATCTGCACTGGTTCCCGGTGTTTTATTGGGCAAGGTTTAAGATCCTCCTCCTTGTGATCAGGGTGTTGCAGGGCAGTGCTCCCTCATATCTTGCTGAATTGCTGCAGCGGCGTGTCCCCACTCAGGCCCTTAGCTCTGCTGAGCAGGAGTTGCTGGAAGTCCCTCGCTCTAAACTCAGATCAAGGTGGGACCAAGCCTTCCCAGTAATAACCCCTACTCTCTGGGAGGAGCTCCCTCTGAAGCAAGCTCCTTCTCTACAGGAGTTTAAGTCTCACCTGAAAACTCACTTTTACCTACTAGCTTTCCCCCAACATTGTTGACGCTGGCTTTTGTATTTTTACTTTTTGTACTGTATGGTTTTTAATTACTTTGACTTGTACTTTTCTATTTATTATTTTCTTTAATCAATTTTTCTCTCTTTTATCTATTGTTGTTTTATACTTCTTTTTATGTGCTGTTCAGCACCTCGGGCCTCTGATAAGGTGGTGGTAGGTGCTATATAAATAAATCTGATTGATTAATTGAACATCTGAAAGTTAAATCTGAGAGAATCCAGCGTAGAATATTTGGAAATGTTTCGCCCTTTTTGCAGATGCAGACACAGTAAAGCTACATTTACATCGTTTCCAGAAGTGCAACGTCCATGAGCAGTTTGTTGCTTTTCTTTGTGGTGGTTTCACCCATTTTAATTCCCATTCAGTGACTCTGAGAATCCAAACAGGGGCAATAACTGCCTAATCTGCACCTTTGTCTGCATCAGATTTGCATTAGTTAGAATGGGTTTGACTCCAAACAGCCCATTATGGTCGCCCGGTACCACGCAGCCTTCAGCTGCACTTAACACAATTCACTTAGTTCCTCTTGGTTTCCCTGAAGCTGTCCAAGCTGTGGGAATAAATTCACTGATTTATTCAAATGTAGGTTTTCTCTTTCAGAATGCAGCAGATTCTGTACATTTATCAAATGTCACTGTGTAGTTTGAAGGCTGAGCCAGCACAAAATTGAAGTATTTTCTGAGGTACTGTGATATTTTGTGAACTGTTTTCTGGGGTTTAAAGTTTGGAAAAGTGGTGAAGAGAAATCTATCTAAAAAATTGGTTTTCTATCTAAAATCTGATTTCCCCCCAAGCCTTTGAAGCTCAAAAAGGAAGAAAAAGAAATAAACAACGTAGATCAGCTGATTGGGGTGTCCAAGTGTTTAGAGATGTGGGGCAAAACCATCATGTTGAAAGTAAATTCCATCTTTTTACAGTAAAAATGAACTCTTACAAACCTGTTGTTCCCTGACGATCTTCTGATAGAGCTTTTTGAGCATTGTATATTTTCCTACATCCAGATTACGGAGCTCAGAGTCCTAGGAAACACGCATAAGGAGAAGATGGAAAGGAAGAGCAAGTTTGAGTGTCAGGAAAGAGGAGAAGAAAAGACTGGTTGAAAATGTAGGATTAACAACTTCTGCCACCTCCAAACCCCTGATAAAGTGCACTGCTGTCTTCTTCCTCTGTTTCCAGCTCTGATTTTTTCTATCTGGCCGATCAATGAGGATTAAGGATTGAACACGTTAAACTCCATCCCTCTCCAGCCGCTGCTCACAAAGTAATCCCATTTCAAACAATATCTGTTTCATATTTAATGAGCGAGTGCATTTAGAGAGGTCTTCACCTTCGTTTCTCAGTAGAAAATCTTTATCTTCTGACACTTTAGGGAGCGCTGAGAGCCGGCAGCAGTCCTCTCTTCATTTATTTATGCCTGTCGGCCTCCTTCCACCTATTTTAGTGTTAATTATGGTTGTGTGTAGCTGCCTGCTCTTTCTGGCTCTCCTTCAGCTGAGACATGATCCCCAGAAGAAACTTGTCTCCATCAGTTTAGTTAGAACACAGCGACTGACTGTTGAGGGATCAGTCTTTCCACAAGCCTTAATGACGTGTTTGCTGTTGCTGCAAGGCGGAGAAGTTTGTAGCACTGTTGCCTTGCAGCAAGAGGGTTGCAGGCTTGATTACCAGTTTGTTGTGTGAAATTAGCATTTTCTTCTCATGCATGTGTGCTTTTTTTCTGGGTGCTGGTTTCCTCCCAATGTCCAAAAACACGCAGCTTAATTGGAGATTGTAAGTTTTCACTATAGGTGTGAGTGAGTGGTTGTCTCCCTGTCCCTGTGATGGACTGGAGACCTGCAGGGTGTCCCATGCCTCTCAACCACTGACCACTCAAAAAAGACATGGCTGAGATAATCACTGAGTGAGAGAGCATTTGCTCATATGGAACTAAATTTTTTAACAAGTTTTCCTCAAAATGACCAAAGTAAACATTTTTCTGTTAAAACAATGTCTCCTTCATATATTCCCTTCATCAACTTCCTTTTATTCCCATTTTCCAGGCCGCAGTCTGCCCCTGAGCAGCCCCCACACCGTGTCTCTGAGCAGCCTGTTGGATGACCAACACTGGCACCGCGTTGCAGTGGAGCATCGTAGCAATCATCTCAACCTCACTGTGGACAAAAGCACAATGAGGGTGGAGCTCCCAGCATGGTTCACCTTCTGGGGTCATGATCAGGTGCGTGTTTAACAGGCTCCAGTGCAGCTTGGAGTTTTTACTCGCTGATGTTGTTCTTGTTGTCTTTCTGCAGATGCATGTGGGAGCAGACCAAAGTTCAAACAGGAATTTCCAAGGATGTCTGGAGAACCTGGTTTACAATGGCCTGAACCTGGTGGAGCTAGCTAAACACAAGGATCCACGGGTGGATGTGAAGGTAAAGTGTTTTAATCTCTCTCCCTCTATCTGTCTTTTGGTCTGTCTGTCTCTTTCTGTGTGTTTTTCTTTGTCCACCTGTCTGTATCGCTCTCTCTCTCTTACTCTGTTTGTCTCTCTTTCTGTGCGTGTTTCTCTTTTTCCAATCTTTCTGTCTCTGTCTGTCTGTCTGTCTCTCTCTCTTTCTGTCTCTCTCTCTCTCTCTCTCTCTCTCTCTCTCCATTCTGTTAGATCCCTTGAATGAAGCTTTTAGATGTGATCAGATGTTTAAGGAGCGCCGGTTTTCCCACAGGGGAGCCCTGATGTAACACATCCTCATTGCCATCTGGCTGCAGCTAAAACTTCCTCTGTGCCCTCAGAAAGCCTTTGATGCTTTCAGTTTGATTAGATCATTATTCTAATCCTTGCTATTATCATAATGTGGTTTCACTTGTGCTTCTAAGACTTATTGGTGAGAATCCAGCACACCAGGGTGCCTCCATGTTGCAAATTAATTCATACCCATGCAATATGTTTTCCTGTTTTAGATTGTTTCTCTCTCTCTCTCTCTCTCTCTCTCTCTCTCTCTCTCTCTCTCTCTCTCTCTCTCTCTCTCTCTCTCTCTCTCTCTCTCTCTCTCTCTCTCTCTCTCTCTCTCTCTCTCTCTCTCTCTCTCTCTCTCTCTCTCTCTCTCTCTCCTTCACCCGCTTCAGGGCAACGTGACCTTTTCCTGTTCTGAACCTGTATTTGTTGCCGTGACGTTCACCGGCCCCCGGAGTCACCTGATTTTACCAGGTGGCTCAGATCCGCCGTCAGTGGGCGGGTCAGTGAGGCTTCAGTTTCGGACGTGGAACAAGGAGGGGCTGCTGCTGACCTATGATCTCCCAAAGAGAGAAGGGACCGTGTGGCTGTACCTGAGCCAAGCCAGTCTGCATCTACAGGTCCACAAACCCGACAGGGCGCCTCTAGAACTCAGAGCAGGTCGGTCTGATAGACATAAAACACAAAGTTTACAGCCTCAAGTATAATTGTTGCCTTCTAGATTCAAGATCTTTTTACTGTCATTGCACAGGTGTACAATAAAACTGACTTTGCGCTCAGTAAAGACAGCTCACATAAGGAGGTAGTAAATTAACTAGTAAAATAACCTTAATAAGGCTAAAACAGAAGCCACATACAGGAGTATGTGAAATTAAAGGAATGTCATAAAAATGTTTGATATAGCTAAAATAAATTTTTGACATATTTTCTTTTGCTCTACCCTCATTTGGAGCTTTGTATATACAAATCTGTCTACAGAGCCTTCTTCTTTGGGATGATCTAGACTCATCTCCAGGCTATAGCTCTAAAAATGTAATACATGGGGTGAAAGGACAAAAAAAGTCTGGAAAATCAACAGAATGTGTCAAGGTGTTCAGGAATCAATTTTTTTTTGAGAAGGATTAGGAAATTGTGTTACAAATGGAGGGTTTTTTTAACCAGGGGAACTCCCATTCATCCCATTATACTCCTAAATTTTAGCAATAAAAATACAAAATTAAATGCACAAAACACACACATAAAGGAGAAAATAGTTTCACTTTGATCTGTTACAGTCCCGTCATTTTGAGTAAAGCTAGCAAACCTACAGAACAAGCTAGGTTTTAAACGTAAACACGGTCACAGATTCTTCACCCCTCCTCTCAATTATCTTCTCTGAGACACTTATGCTGGAAACGAAGCCTGCGATGCCAGAGGAAACAAGATAGTGTTAAATGCCAGTCGTTGTTAGGTCTACATGCCTTTTGTTGTCCGTTAAGCAAAACCACAACCAGCCTAAGCAGCCAGTTATTTATAGGTCTCCTCGCTGTGCATTCATCTTTTTAGTACCTTCACTCAGGGGCATGGACGTCACTAGGATTGAGATATAGGGGGGGCTTAGCCCCAGGAGCTTGACCTCGAACGTTTTTTGTCACACCCTGCAAAAACTTTGTCAATTAATTCATTATCTGAAGAAAATCTAACAAAACCTATTATTTTATCACTTTCCTTTCCTTTCCTACTTTTGTGCATTTTCTCTCTTCTTTTTATAAAAAATAACACTTAATCAGTTAATTAGTGGGGTTTATGTTGAAGAAAGATTTTATGTAAGTCCATTAAAAATTTGATATGTTATATTTCCAAATAAAGCTATTCATTTCAGTCTACTGCACTTAACAGGGGGAAATGTTGTAGTCATTTATTTAATTTGTTTAATTACAACTTGTTTAATTATAAATGTTACTGAAATGTGACAATAAAGAACAAATGAATAATTGTCAAACTTTTATTCTGCCAAATGAGTGTGCAGTTGACAGTTTTAATATATGAATAACACTGCTATGATATGGAATAAAGGAGTATGTAATTAACAATTACAAGACAAAATAACAGTATATATGAAAATATCCAGCAAGTAGTAGAACTTATAATACAGAAAGTCAACTATACAGATACAACTTGACATAAAGGTTGCAGGTCAGATGATAATTATAGTTTTTTTTTCTCAAGTTCTCTTACCTGTTCACTCCTAAATAGAAAACTGTTCAATTTTGCTTGGGAACTTTGTGCTCAGGTAAATGCTCATAACGGTGCACTCACCCCTGTTTTCTCTGTAGACCACTGACCTTGACCATGCAGATCTCCTCAGCATCAACCACCTGGTCTCTCTCCTGTTCCTCACTCACTCTCTTAAAAAAATATTCGTATATCCATCTAGCCAACACATTGAAAAACATTTTCAATTTCTAATGCCAAAAAAAAATGCTACTAAGCCATTTAGTTTTCACTCACAATAACTGAAACAGCCATTGGTGGATAGATGGTACAGAATATGGACAACTGTTAGCCTAATATAGCCTATGTTTGGTTGCTCATGATGATGGCATTTTCCATAACGTCACATTAAGCTGCCAAAATTTATGTTAAAGTTAGACGAGTACAATATCTCCTTTCTTTCCCATAGGTAAACATAGGAAATATTAAGCAATTGACAACCCACATTGAAAGAATTCATATAAACATATAGGTTTTAATATATGTTTTGATGTAGCTTTTGAATATATGTGACATTATAAAACTGGCTGTTTACTATATTATAGATACATATATGTACCTATAATATATTATATATATATATATATATATATATATATATATATATATATATATATATATATATATATATATATATAATAGAAAAAATATATAATATAGAAAAATGGTCAGTAATATACACATTCGGCCAGATTCTGATTCAGGTTTTTAGTGTGGAGTGATTTTTGTGCCACCAACTGGAGCGTGCAGTGATAAATCTGCAAGAGCACAACCTGCTCTGCAGTCATATGCGGCCCTCTCTCTGCATGCTCAACTCCATCTCTGCCTGCACAAATCTCCCTGTTGTTGCTCAATTTGCAATTTACAAAGCAATGTAGCCTCTCCGTCAGCCAATCAGACAGCTCTCCATTATGCAATCAAAGCATGTCCAGGAAATACTGCCAGGAAAATTGCACTTTTTTTCAGATAAAGAGGACTTTATATAATTATATTTAATTAGGTTGATTAACCCTCCTCTTTTCCTGGGACATTTCCACTGTTCACTTCCTTTTACACATCAAGGGCTCATTTACGTCTAACCAAACAGAGAAGAAACACTTTATATGTTGAAATTAAAAGTCCTCTTTAACTGAAAATAGTGCAATTTAGCAGTTTTAGGAATGGGCAATGTGTCTTTTCTGGAAGTCAAATATGGTCACTCTAATCATGACACATGAATTACAACAAAGTATTTTGCAGGCAGTGGATGGTGACTGGTAGCTAACCAGCAGCAGAAAGCAGTTCAGTAAGCTGTTAAATGGGTGTTTTTCTGTAAAGCAATATGCTTTGATTAGATAAAACAGAGCTGTCTGTGATTGACTGTTGGAGAGGCTACTTGTTGAGGAGAGCAGGGAGAGATTTGCATCGCAGAGACAGAGTTGAGCCCACAGAGGGCTGCAGCTCCTGCACACAAGCGCAGAGCAGTTTGTTTGTGCAGACTCATTACTGTACGCTCAAGTTGGTGGCACTAAGTCACTCAATGAACTGGCTGGCTTGTTAATCACGTCACTTCAGGGGAGTTTTCCGACCATTTAACTATGGCGCGGCTTTTCATTATGGTTTGCGGCATGTAAACATGCTAGCGGAGTTAGCATTAGCATGTCGGTGCGGTAACATTTTCCTCTCTCGTCTGAACTATAACCTTGAAATATTAACGGTGTGCTGCTGTTGCTGTCTTACCCTAATGTGATGTTGAGTGACTTACAAGAGCGCTGAGCAGGGTTTGCTCATCGATATAAAGGTTTTGCTGTATAACCCCTGCCCCTGACTTGTCAACAGAGCTGCCGGGCTTAAGGGGAGGCAGTCCTTTCTTGATACTTCCTGTGTGCGACGGTGTAGTTCTATATTCATTAATTATTATTTCTGTTTCAGACAAAAAAAAAAAACTCATGTACCATCTACACGTGTCGTGATTGTGTTGAGCATGTAGATGTGAACAAATAAAAAAAGGTTAACTGAAAAAATAAAATAAACCAAAATGATAGGGGGGCTTGTGATTATTTTAGGGGGGCTGAAGGCCCCTAAAACGGACCTAACGACGTCAGCGCTCAGGGGTGTCAAACTCAAATTCACACTGGGCTGAAATGAAAATCTGGGACGAAGTTGCGGGCCAAACTTAATATTTTGTGAAAAAGTGACAGCAAATTTGCACATTGTCTTTATTAACACATATGCAACTTTGAACCTTTTAATTTGGAAACAAACTTATTTCTGCATTAACACTGTATGAGGAATAACCAAATTACACGCGAGCAAGTCAGTTTTAAATAAAACACATCAGTGTATTCATTACTTGTAGTATATTCGGCATTTTTAAAATCTATTCAGGATTTATGTTTTCTTGTTGTTTATTCATTTTTCTTATTTTTTGTTCTCCTTTTTTTCTCCTGTAATAAGTATCGCTGCTGTGACATCTAGCTTTCCCCACTGAGGAACAATAAAGGGATTTTCTATTCTATTCATCTATCTGCAGCCTTTCCACTTCCTGTTTACTGTAGGTTAAATCTTTTCTCACTGAACAACAACCAAATAAAAATATAATTTTATCTTAAATGAAAATGCAATATCTCACCCGTTAACTTTCATGTTTTGGAGCAGAAAAAGAGCATAAAACCAAAATATTCAAAGCTCAGTTTGCTCCACTGGTTTACTGTGATGCTCACCTGTTCCAGCCAGATACCTGCATCATGGGGTTGAGCTCTGCTGAGGAGGAGACTCCTGTTATTTTGTTCATCTTCATCATAATAATGACAACATGACAACAGGTGCTCACATAGGTTTGTGCTGGTGAACATGTCTGAGCAGCTTGACCACGTTGTTGTGAGTCCGGGAGGAAACCATAGACTGTACATATACTGGACAAACGGATTCCATTGGCTTCAATAACACGTTTGTTGTCTATAATGGGAGGTGGCCACCACCGCCATTTTGACCGTGTCACAGGTTCCGTCCAGCCCAGACAATTCCATAAAAGGGAAGAGAGGAGGCGCTGAGGGTGTGGCTGTAAGGCTGGGCTCGAGTGACGACACCCTGGCGAACTAGCTACGAGCTAACCTGAAGCTAACCCTGGCTAACCCAAAGCTAAAGCGGAGGTGGGAGCCGAGCTAACGGATGTAGCCACCTAGCTTCAACCCAACCGGAGCTAACTGGAACACCCATCGACCTGAACCTTACACGGAGTTTAGGTGGAGGTTTTCTGCGCCTGTTCGTGAGAAGTACCAGTATTAAAAAAGTTTTAAATCGGTAAGTTTATAATTTATTTCCGTAATGAAAACATTTTGCTTTGAGCAAGTTTTCAGTAGTTTTTTTCGGCGCTATCACTCCTGAGTCGCACCAGCCATTAAATGTATCATGAAGAAGAGAACATATATTTAAGTCGTATTTTGGGGGGACATTTTATTATCTTTCTTACAAAATCTGAGACCAAGCGTTTCACATTGCAACACAAGCACCGGTAACCATAACAGAATGAACAACAGCCAGCAGAGGAGAGGATGGCGGTGTTTCCACCCCTCCCGGCCGGCGAGGAGAGCTCATTCCTGGGCTGGAGCCGGCCCTCAGCACCCCGCCACAGGCTCTAACAGATGCTGGCGGTGTTTGAAACCCTCCCAGCGGGACAGGGGACCTCATTCTTGTGTGGGTCGGAGTCGGCCCGCAGCAGCGCGGTGTAGCCTACATATTTTGTTATATAAGTCGCTCTGGAGTATAAGTAGCAGGACCAGCCAGAATATGTAAAAAAGTGCGAGTTATAGTCCGGAAAATATGGCAGTTATTAGTATTCGAGCTAAATTAGCAGCCTAAATACATTTCATATATTTCCAAAATGTAATACTTGTTTGTATCTTGTACAGCCAACTAGTCTTTATTCTGGACTCAGTACAATTTACCAAAAGTAAAGAGACATTCTACAGATGAAGTAAGCACAAGATAACTTACTGGAAGACACGGAATTATCATGAGAACCAGAACAAGAGAGCCTGATAACAGTCATGTGAAAATAACAGTTAAAAAGTATGTATGTATAATAGAAATAAAAATATATTAGAATTAGTGTAACTCACTGTGATCCAAACAATAAATCAGCCATAGCTGATTAGTAAATATGACATGAGGTCTTGGAGTTTTTAATTTTCATTTTTTTCTTAGATCTGTTAAAAGGTCACCATGGCAGCCTGTGTGTCTCCAACATCAGCTACACAAAGCAGCAAGTGTAAATTCCACATACCTGTCTCACCACTTCATGTATGGTTTTGTACTTTAAACAATTATGACAAACCTGTTATTTTTTCTCCATAGCCATTTGGATCATTGGAGACAGCTGAGTGAGGCGTGGTGCCCAGAGAGCTGCAGAGACAACCTTGGCCTCCCTGACGTCTGTGTCTCCTGGTTCGGTTGGGGCGGACCATCGACATACATACATACATGTGCCGACACTTTGCGCCCTGTTTTATAAAATGTAGTGTTAAAAATAAATGTTTTTGCTCAATTACTGGAATTTCTTTGGTTAAGACAAAAGTGAGGAATAATCATTTACAAGTTATTGGTACAACAGGCCCATTTTAAATCCCAACAGTTTCTTAGCAGACAATAGAAATGTGTTCTTTACTAACTTTACTTGGTTTAAAAATCTTACTAAAATAGTGGCGTATTGCAAAACCCAATCATACTTATGTAAACATTAGCTTTGTAGATATTTTTTACAGATCTATATTTGTGTGCAACAAATCCAAACTTAAATAATTTGTCATTCTTTATTGAAAAACAACAAAATACAGTTATACAGAAGTGTGGGAAAATGATAATGTGAAAGTATTGCTATTTAAATGTAATCCTATTTATCTTTAAAAAGAAAAACTCTAAAAATGTCCTGTACAGCATCATGACAGAAGAATGGTGGTCTGTCTGTCAGAATGTGCTGAACAGATTTGCTCTTTGAAGAGGAGTGTCATGTTTGGAGGAAGGTACTTAACCCAAGACATGCAGAATACAACACTGACCAAAAACTGATGGAAAAAATGATTTATTTATAAGGAGGAACTTAAGGTGCGCAGATAAGTCTGTGGTTGGAACTGCAACAACAGCTCAGCGTCTGGAGGAGGGAGAACACAGGTGAGCTTAGGTTCTGGTTTCAAAATCCATTGTAGGCAGGCAGAGGTGTTCAGCAGACTTACTGTGGTGGGTGTATGTGTTGGCTGGAGGAGGGAGAGGTAGAGAGCCGGGGGAAGCGCAGGAGAGGGAGCAGAGGTGGAGAGAAGCGGGGCGTCCTGGTGGATGGGGCACTGGGTGAGATGAGAGGTGGGTTATGGAGGCTGGTGATAAGGTCCGTGTGTTGAATATCCAAATCCTGGAGTAGAGGTCAGTATCCAATGAGGTCGACAGGAATCCTGAAGAATGGTAAATCCAATATAAGAGCAAAAACACTACGAAATAACATTAATCCTAGGAACACTAGAGGTAACACGAGTGGCTGGTTACTACCAAAACTGAGGCAATCTTCTGGCGTCAAATTGTGTCCTCCATCCACCATAAATAGGAAAGCACCCCGCTGATTGCTGATCAGGAACGGCTGGGGTGGAGTCACCAGAACCATGAAGAACGTGTCTCCAGAGACAACCCGGGTCCTGGTACCGATCAGGAAGCGGACCTTATCACCCAGAGCTGCCAGGTCATGCTCAAAGCCTTCATGTTCACGCTGCAGAGCCTGAACGCTGGCCAGGTCGTGGCCGTAGTTGTCTGTGTTCAGGGCCTGGTTCTTCTCCTCGATCCACTCTTTGGTCTCATCAGCATCTCTGAGAAGACATCAGAACTCCGTCTGAGTGTGGGTCCAAACTCTACTGACCCGTAAGCGGCGCATAAGTGTGCGGGGTACCTGTGGAAGCGCTGCACCTCATGGGCGCTGCCCAGCATGTTGCTCCGGTCTTCTATCGCGTCATACCCCTGTCAAAACCCGTGCACGCGCATTGGGTCCACAGCGCGCGTGTGAACGGGACTCGCGAGCGAAAATATACATGGCAGCGCGCGTGTGAACGGGACTCGCGAGCGGAAATATACATGGCGAGAGGTCATTTGTGCACTGAGAGGGAGCAAACTGTGTCTGTGAGCGCACAAGGATGTGCACAAGTGACAAACCTGCGTGCGCGCGTGGTCAACGAGCACACGGCAGAGGAAAACGTGCGCGCGCGGCAGCCTCTGTGCGCGCTCGGCAGCCTCTCTGCGCGCTCGGTTTCTGACTCCTGCTCGCTCGGCTGTAAGGGTTTTGGCACTCTGGAGGCGTGGCCTGTGGCAGATCTTCTCTGTCCTCTGATTGGTTAGTGTACCCCGCACTTTACCCTCTACCTATCTATATAAAAAAGTCTGCTAGTCAAGTAGTCGCTGGCATAGCTCAGTTGGAAGAGCGGGTGACTCTCGCCCTGGAGGATCCAGGTTCGAGGCCGGGCAAGGAAAATGCAGTAGATGTCATGTTAATTTTTCTTAATTTCAGGTATTTTACAGTTGTGACCGTTCAACTATCATTAAACGTCCGAATGTTTGCTGGGCAGTGTTTTAAAAAGTGCACATAAGCTAGATGGTTTTAACCATATAAAATTACATTTTTTGTGATACTGGAAAAATACATACTGAAATAAAACTACTGATTGAAAACTTTATGACTGTGGTTGTACAATATATGACTCACTAATACACTGCAAACTCCCTTAGAGTGGGGCTTCCAGAGAGAGAGAGAGAGAGAGAGAGAGAGAGAGAGAGAGAGAGAGAGAGAGAGAGAGAGAGAGAGAGAGACAGAGAGAGAGACAGAGAGAGAAAAGTTCTTGCCTCATTAATGAATTGTTTATTTTTTTCAGTATTTAATTGACAAATTATCCTTTCAAATAATTAATTGATGAGTTACATAATTGTCCATTTAGAATTGTTGAATGGACTGAGTCAAGTTTGGTGCACTTTATATATTTCAAAACATGTTTTTTTTTTTTTTTATGATGCATATAAATAATTTAAATGTTAATTTAATGAAATATTTCTATTTTTTCATTACCTCACCCTTGTTTTGACAAAAACAGGACCTTGCTGGATAATATCACGGAGAAACTATTTGTTCACAGTACATGGCTCAGTGAGGATCTGTGTAAAGGAGGAGATACTCAGAAATCTGTCTGCAGATTGTTACAACCCAGACTGGAAGTGGTGGGCTGTAATAAGAAAGGAGACCAAACAGAGGAGTGGGGGTTCAACAACTGATTTATTTAACAAAAGTAAGGATTTACTAAAGCAAGTTAGTGAACAGAAAATGGCCAGTGAGGACTCTCCACCACACAGGAGAGACCCAGTGAAAGCAGAAAAACAGTAGGCTTTGTAGGCAGCACCACACCCTGAGCCCAGGTGCCTCCAAGGCTGCTTAACCAGCTGCCTACAACAGAAGAAAAACACAATTAAACACAAATGAAAACCCAATGAGATGGTGGGGGCATCACAACACGTTCAGGACTACCCAAACACCAGTAAATCTTGACTGCACTGATCTGAGGTGTCAATGGCCATATTCCCCTCTCTTCCAGAGTCATATATTTTCCTCAAGTTCAACTGCACTCTGAAGAGGCTCATTTGGATTGTGCCACATAGGCCAGTGACCTTTGTCTCAGCACTGTATGCTGGAACTATCAGCGACCAACCTGGGAATCTGGTGTGTTGAAAATGCTACAACTAGAGATGGTCATCTTGGTAGACAGGGGTTTCTGCATTGATGACATTGTGCCCTGCAAAGTGTACAGGCCAGCTTTCCTTTCTGGCAAACCTCAAATGTCTGCATGTAAAGTTATAGAAACAGAAGCCATAACATCTCTGAGTGCATGTGGAGCGCTCCATTCATCTGGTCCAAGAACACAAGCATTTTGATTGTTATTCCCCTCCTTGCATTTGTAAACAATCAGCTATATGCTGTGGTTTTTCTCCTTACCAACTTTTAAAATAGCCCACTAGTGAAGGCCTGGGCAAAGAAGCCTGATGTCTGAGAACCTCAACATATGTACGGCAACCATACTGTATATTTACACACATTCATAAAGAAACTGCATATCAAGCTTTCATTCAGATGACCTTCAACAGTGCTGCACCCTGCTGAGGGACATCCGAGTAAAACCTTGAGATGGCCATTTTCTGTTCACTAACTTGCTTTAGTAAATCCTTACTTTTGTTAAATAAATCAGTTGTTGAACCCCCCACTCCTGTTTGGTCTCCTTTCTTATTACAGCCCGCCACTTCCAGTCTGGGTTGTAACAATCTGCAGACAGATTTCTGAGTATCTCCTCCTTTACACAGATCCTCACTGAGCCATGTACTGTGAACAAATAGTTTCTCCATGATATTATCCAGCAAGGTCCCGTTTTTGTCAAAACAAGGGTGAGGTAATGAAAAAATAGAAATATTTCATTAAATTAACATTTAAATTATTTATATGCATCATTAAAATAAAAAAAAACATGTTTTTAAATATATAAAGTGCACCAAACTTGACTCAGTCCATTCAACAATTCTAAATGGACAATTATGTAACTCATCAATTAATTATTTGAAAGGATAATTTGTCAATTAAATACTGAAAAAAATAAACAATTCATTAATGAGGCAAGAACTTTTCTCTCTCTGTCTCTCTCTCTGTCTCTCTCTCTCTCTCTCTCTCTCTCTCTCTCTGGAAGCCCCACTCTAAGGGAGTTTGCAGTGTATTAGTGAGTCATATATTGTACAACCACAGTCATAAAGTTTTCAATCAGTAGTTTTATTTCAGTATGTATTTTTCCAGTATCACAAAAAATGTAATTTTATATGGTTAAAACCATCTAGCTTATGTGCACTTTTTAAAACACTGCCCAGCAAACATTCGGACGTTTAATGATAGTTGAACGGTCACAACTGTAAAATACCTGAAATTAAGAAAAATTAACATGACATCTACTGCATTTAACTTGCCCGGCCTCGAACCTGGATCCTCCGGGGCGAGAGTCACCCGCTCTTCCAACTGAGCTATGCCAGCGACTACTTGACTAGCAGACTTTTTTATATAGATAGGTAGAGGGTAAAGTGCGGGGTACACTAACCAATCAGAGGACAGAGAAGATCTGCCACAGGCCACGCCTCCAGAGTGCCAAAACCCTTACAGCCGAGCGAGCAGGAGTCAGAAACCGAGCGCGCAGAGAGGCTGCCGAGCGCGCACAGAGGCTGCCGCGCGCGCACGTTTTCCTCTGCCGTGTGCTCGTTGACCACGCGCGCACGCAGGTTTGTCACTTGTGCACATCCTTGTGCGCTCACAGACACAGTTAGCTCCCTCTCAGTGCACAAATGACCTCTCGCCATGTATATTTCCGCTCGCGAGTCCCGTTCACACGCGCGCTGTGGACCCAATGCGCGTGCACGGGTTGTGGCACGCTTTAAACGCCATAGTCTTCAGCCAGCTGTTGCAGCGAGCGCCAGCAGTTGTTCAGCTCCTGGAGAGAAACCAAACCCAGTGAGATGAAGGTGGACGCCAGCGGGCTGGACGCCGGACAAGGAAACCTGGAGACGGATCGCTCAGACAGGAAGGGAAGAGCTTCCTCTTACCTTGATGGAATTAAAGTTAGCCGTCGTCTGAACGCCCAACCGTACGGTCTGAGGTCAAAGGTCACAGGAAACACACACACCAGTCAGCAGTCATACAGATGCATAAAGATAACTGTAGCCATGGCAACCAGCTGACATGTCCCCACTTTCACCAGCACCTGGTGCCTGCCGGGTCACCTGAATTCCTGTGTGATGTCAGCACGGTCGGCCGTGACTGCGGCCATCAGAGGTGACCTCTGATCAGCTGAATGAACTCACCTTCTAGGGTGACGCCGTCTTACCCCGGGTTTCCACGGGAGCCGTCAGCAGCACGTTACTGCAGCAGCACGTCTTGCTCGCGTAAGCTGCTGCTTGGCCCTTCCCACGAGACGCGAAGCAGCAGGGGAGCAGCTGTCACCGACCGAGCACGAAGTCACACGAGTGACTTCGTCAGTAAACACAACAACAAGCAGGAGAAAACTACAACATGGTTTGTGTTTTATGTTCTGTCCGTTTTATAATCGCCAATACGGACCTGAAAAACAAAGGAGACCTCTAGCTATGTGATAACTTCTCACGGGGCCGCACAGTTAGTAACTGTTTTTAAAATTAAAGCAACCGGAAGGCAGTACGTTCTTTATTCTGAAAATCTCGGTAGCTTCTCTCAATTTCCACGTCCGATTTCCTGTCTTTCCTTCCCCAAAATTGTCGAACTTGACCTGTTTCAGAGGCGTCGCGCGTAGAAAATAGAACCGGCGCGTAAAGGCCGCGACATGCTGCTCCTGAGACGTGGCCGACTCGCGCTGCTGACGGCTGCAGTGGAAAAGGTTCTGTTGACCACAGCGGTTCCTATCAGCAGCTATGACGTGCTGCTGCAGTAACGTGCTGCTGACGGCTCCTGTGGAAAAGGTTCTGTTGACCACAGCGGTTCCTATCAGCAGCTATGACGTGCTGCTGCAGTAACGTGCTGCTGACGGCTCCTGTGGAAAGCCGGGGTTAGTCGGCTTCATCCTGTAAACAAACAAATGAGTGGTAACAAAAACACCACGTCTGGTTCTGGTGGAGGCGGAGGACAACACGCACCTTTCCAGGAGCAGAACCCAGATGTTCTTGTTGCTACAAACAGAGACGAGCAGAGTTAACAAACCAGGAAGTGAGAGGGACCAGCTGCTGCAGACAGGTGACGCTCACCTGAGCCTGAACCATAGGAGCCTCCTCAGCCATCAGACCTTCTGACTCCAGTTCAGATGCCACCTTGTTGATGTCCCTCAGGCGGGACTCATTGGCCTTCAGGTCCTGCAGGACAAAAGCACCTGCTGATTATCACCTGAGCTGATCTGACAGCTGCTGCTGGAAGACGGAGAGGAGGAAAAGTCCGACCTTCTGGAAGTCGTCAAACTTCTTCTGCAAGACCTCGACCTGCTCCAGGTCCGACCCGTCTCTCCATCCTCATTCAGCTAAAGACGCGAGTTCAAGTAAAACAACCTAAAGTCACACAAACACAAAGCAGGTGTGGAGATGTTCGCTCTGAGCTGGAGGTCGTTCCTCGGCTGTGAAGGGCACACGAACCTTGTTGGTGCTGTTGAGCAGCGTGAGGATGTCGCCCTTCTTCATGGTGACCTCTCCAGGACTCTTCTCCTGGTAGTCGTACAGAGCCAGAACCAGCTCCTTCCCGGTCTCATCGTCAGTTGGAGCCACTTGTTGCTGTCGGGTTAACAGGTCTGGTGTTAGAACGTGGTGGATAAGAATGTTCTGACGGGCCGAGGGTTCTGAACCAGCGAAGTGACCTGGACCCAAACAAAGTGAGCCAGAACCTGCAGACACCTCAGAAACATGTCAGGACCAGACCTGCTCTACCTTCCTCCATTATGGTCTCTCCTTTCTGGGTGACAGCCTTGATGCGAGGTTCATGACCTGTGATCTCAGCCTGCAGAGCCTCGTGCTTCTTCAGCAGGTTCTGGACACCAATCAGGTCCTTCCCTGAGGACACATGTTAGAGTTCAGCATTATGCAGTAGACAGACCAGTTTAACCCAGGGGTTTCTTTCTTCTACAATCTGCTCTTTAACTGTATTATTTCCTGCTATTTCAGCTGTTAACTTTATTTTTTCTCTAAGTGTTTTTCTCCCCAGAAGAAGCTACAATGATGTTCTGCTGAGCTGTGGTGGCCTCATGGAGGGGGCCATCATCTAGCACACTGCTGCTAACCACTTAATCATTCTCCCTCTCCTGATAATAACATTTTACTTTCTTTGATGTTGGATGTACTACTGCTAGTTTACCCGTTTAATTATAGATTCACTAGGATAAATACAATAAAATTTATCTCTCGCCAAATAGAATATTTACTAAGAAATCACAATGTAACGTGTGTGTGTGTGTGTGTAAAAGCCATGTGTAGTGTTTATTTATAAAGCATATGTTGTTGGATTTTATCCAGAATCGAGACTTTGAAAATATATTGTTTAATTACAGTTTGATTTATTTGACATCTGTATAATGTTTATTGTTTTGTTTTTTCCCCCTAAATGCCTAACGTTTGAGTTTAACATGAATATCAGTCATTCATCCCAATACATGAAGTTACACATTTTAAATTTTAATAGGGGAAGACTGCAGGAGGGAGAGGTAAAATCATAGACTGTACATACTTGCTACCCGCCGGCTGTGATCACAAGCGACAACATATTAGTTCCCGCTGCTTCTTCGGTAAACAGCGCCAACAAAAACAAAGAAACTTGGGATCTTGTCGGCGTGGCGGTGGGATTTAAGGGAAACGCTGTATGCCCTATAGACTTCTCACCGAGCTGCAGTATTTCTCCGGTCAGATCTGTCTCTGAGAGCTCCATGAGCGGTCAGCCCGCGCAGAAACTAGCCGCCGCACCGGTCAGGCTGCCTGGCCTGACCGCTGGGGATTACCGGATGGAAGAATGGACACAGGTGTCACTCCAAGCCTGCTGGAGATTTTAAGGGTTCAGATGAAAACACCCTACCACTCAGGCTGCTTACACATCGATATTAAGTTGTCGCTGTTGCGCTCACGCCATAATACAGTATTAGATGCGGTTAAAGTCAGACATGAAAAACTCCACGAGCGGTCAGACCACGCAGCAGCTAGGCGCAGCAAGTAGGCGCCGGATCGGTCAGGCTGCCTGGCCTGACCGCTGGGGATTACCGGGTGGAAGAATGGACACAGAAGTCTCCCTCTTAGCGCTCCGTCATATTTCAACCCATTTTGATCTTTTACCATATTACCCATCTAAATATGCCCTATTAATTATTTTACCGTATTTTACATTTAAATTTCATGGTTAAACAGTAAATGCTACATGTTAAACTGATGGTTAGCTAGCTACTTCGGTAAACTCAGCTAGTTTAAAGGCAGCAGTGACATAAAATACGAATATAGATTTTAACTTACCGAAAAAAATGAAGTGGAGACTCCTTGGACGCTCTATTAGTGCAATTAATACCACTGCAAGTCATTTTGTCCAACAATTGCACCAATAATATCCAAAACAGAATTCACAAGCACAGAGACTCAAAATCCCGAAACAGCTTCCAGGAGGGGCCGAGGCTGTACTGAGGCCTTTCCACGGAGCTAGCTCTGTGGTCACGTGGGTCTGAGGCGGCGGTCACGTGTGTCGGATGCTCATTAATTATACAGAATTTTAGGCTTTCAATACACTTAAACAGAAGAGTGAGAAAAAAATTCACCCCCCTCAGAGTTGTCATGAGTATAAACTAGATAATTTAGACAAAAAACATGTTTTGGCACCAGGCTGTAAACATGTTTATTTCTGCTGTGAAATCGGCATTTTCAACATGGGAGTCAATGAGGATTTGCTCGCTTCTGGCACCAGCCCCCAGCGGATGAGGGTGGAACTGCAATTTTTCTTACTTCCGGGTTGGGACCATTTTCTGAGCGGCATTGTGGGGGCTTGGAGGAAACACAACGACAGCAACCACAGTCATGCTGATTTGGGCGTGTCGCTGCTGGCTGGAAATATATCAGCTCTGTCTGGAAGTTAGTTGGAAAACTTTCTCTTTCAGCCATGAACACATTACTGAGAGGTTAAAATCTCCGTTTCTGGCCTTCAACGTCGGCAAATAGCTGAGTAAACTCGGCGCTGAGTGAGAGGAGTGTTTAGTTTTTCCAAAACAGCGGAGATTCAGACACCGGCAGCAGACGCTGGAAAAAACAGAAAGGAGGGGGCGCTTCGGCTCCGCGCTAATGCCCAAAGCATCATGGTAGTTGTAGTCTTTCCGGTAAAATCGGCCAGTGGGTCAGTTTTAATATATTTTTGATATTTATCTCGTGGGCCACATAAAAATGCTCCGCGGGCCTCGTGTCTGACACGTGCCTTAACTCATTCACTCCAATTGACGACTAAAGTTGTCAATTGTTTTTTTTTAATGGGGCAGGCCTGGGAAGGAGCTTGTGCACCTTGTGAATACACATCACTGCTCTAAAGTTGATTTCCATCCATGTGCGTCACACATGACGTGATCATGAAGCAGACAATCCATGAATTAGGGGATCGCTTTGGGACGCCACTATGCTTAAAGCGAGGAGCAAACCGTAAAAGCTTCTGCAGCTATGACAGCAGACTGTGAAAGAACGGAAAAAGCTAAAAACATGCTGATTCTACCTGACGTAAGAATTGATTCTACTCTTTCATTTGGTAGTTTTGGTGTTTACATGGCCCCAGAGCACAATATTCTGTGACTCTTCAATAAAAAACTAAAAATGCTCAAAAACGCTTGCAGTCAGAGGCTTTCTGATCAGAAAACAGTTGGCAGTGAATGAGTTAATCTAACAGCTGAAATGTCTCCCCAGCCTTCATTAGTGTCTACAGGAGTTATTTATCACTAAATTAAACAAATCAGCTGTGTTTATGATCTAAAACATGCAGGAAAAACATGCTGGAAGCAGACTGCAGCGTCTGTTATGTCAGCATTTTTTCCCAACGAACAGTAGTCTGAGGTTGGAATATTTGGGTTACAGGCCAAAATTTGGCCAAGTATGCCTTTGAAGTAGATTATTTTAGTCGTGATTCATGTCATTTACTGAGATTGTGGAAGCCTCTCCTATCTTGTTTACGTATAAAATTCCACTGACGTGGTTTTTCTTGGTGATACATGATTGTTTCCACATCAGGTTCAGCCTTGAGTGATGGCCAGTGGCACTCTGTAGATCTAATATCAGGACAAGAACATCTGACCCTCACAGTGGACAAAGATGAGGGAGCTCAAGCAAGTCCTTCATTTCTTGTCACACCAGGAGGTCGACTTTTCTTTGGTGGTGAGAAAGGAAATATACTAAAACTGTTTTTTCTTACTATTTCTGTGAGAAGTTTGCTTGATTTTGTGGCATTTGGAGGGTTTTCCAGTGTACCTGCCCCTGGTTTCTTCTACTTGACATGTATGATTTTTGTCAGGTTGTCCCACTAAAGAGACAAACATGGAGTGCAGGAACCTTTTCAGACATTTCCAAGGCTGCATGCGTCTGATAACCGTCAACAACCAGCCAGTGGATCTGATCAAAGTGCAGCAGAGGATGATGGGAGATTTCACTAACCTTCAGATTGATATGTGTGGCATCATCGACAGGTAAATCCTGACAAATCTTTTATTTGTTTTTCCATAAAAACTGCGTTTACATGCATCATACTTTGTTGAATGTGTCTAAAATATTTGACAGGATCAATCATTCTGATAATTTCCTGGTGCTGTAGAAACGTTGGCCTCATATTGTCTTTTCTCTTCTCAAATTGTTGGAAACATCAAAACGAACGAGCCCGTGTGTGTGTGTGTTTTATACTAAAACACTTCATTCTCACTATATTTCATGACAATTAAAACCAAACAGTCTACAGTTGATCTACAGCTTTTGTTTACGAAAAAGGCCATCTGGAGTATCTGATTTGCAATCAGCAACCTTTGACCTTTCATTTACAATGTCCTGAGATGATCAGTATGAATATGCAGAATGCAGCTGGTTCATGAAAATGCTTGCAAGTTATGTCAGTTTACACATGAACAAAAATAAAACAAGAAGAAAATATTGTAAAAACAAAAGAACTGCATGAGAAGGAATTATACATCATATTTTTAAGGGGACATATTAAAAGAAAATTATATTTAGTATCCTTCTGTATTGCCATGTGGGTCTCTACTGCCTCTGTAAAAACACTCCAAACGTGAATAAAATCCTTCCATACATTTTCTGTCAGTGTTTGGATTTAGGAAAGTGTGCCTAAAACAAGCAAGAGGTCCCCGTTTGTGACATCACAAACAGGGAAATTAGAAAAAACACAAATTAAAATACACACAAATGAAATTACAGTTTAGAGCTAAAGGAGAAGACAAAGTCACAGTGCAGTAGAGATGATGCATGATAAGAAACAATTCATTTAAAGGCTGATGAGTACATTAGGGTTTTTAATTTTGTTTTAAACAACTCTAGGGTTGGGGCAGATCTGAGGTCATGGGGAAGCTGATTCCATATGTGAGCAGCATAGTAACTAAATGCATCTCCACCATGTTTTGTTCTGACCCGAGGTTCTCCCAGCTGACTGTTTCCAAGGAATCTCATAGCCCTATTGGGTGTATATACAGGAATGAGATCTGACATGTATTTTGGGTCCATGCTATAAAGTGATTTATAAACTAGTAGGAGAACTTTAAAATCTATTCTGTAGTTTAATGGTAACCAGTATAGGGATCTAAGAACAGGAGTGATGTGCTCCGTTCTCTTAGTTATTGTTAAGACTCTAGCAGCAGCATTCTAAACAAGCTGCATTTGTCTCACAGCTTTTTTGGGAAGACCAGTTAGGAGACTATTGCTATAGTCCAGCTGACTAAAAATAAAAGCATGAATACGTTCTCTAAGTCTGTACATGAGACCTCTGACTCTTGATATTTGATGAAGGTGATAAACGCTGATTTAGTTATAGCCTTAATACGTCCAAAGAAATTCAGGTCGGAGTCAATGATAACACCAAGATTTCTAACCTTGGTCTTTGTCTTTATTCCCCTGGAGTCCAGCTGAGCAATGAGGAGTAGAACCACCTCATCTGCAAAATAGAGCTGCTGCTCCAAGCCCCTCTCAGATATCAGAGCTTCTCAGCTTGTAGCAGCCTGAGTGGCAAATGGGTGGGTGTGGCCAGCTCCAGCTCATTTTCTTAAAGTGACAGAGCCCTGAAATGACTCAATCTGGAAGCAAATGAAAGTGTCCAGAATAAAATAGCTGAAATCCCTTTATCAACAATAGAACTATTATAAACTATGAGAAAAGTCACTGTCACAATGCGAGCGCAGGAGGATTGGACCCAAAATACAGAACACCTCAACTCAAAGCAGAAGAGATCATTAAAATAGAAAAAATACCTTTATTAGGATGAGAACTGAAAAAACAAAGACTGTAGGACACAAGGTCAAAAATCTAAATTTCTGTAGAACAAAAACAAAAGCTCACACATGAGCCAGGATCTATAGGAACTAGAGAGGGACAAAAGCAACGCTGACAATGAACCGACAAACACTGGAGCCACATACAGGGTTATATACACAGGGCTGGGGTGATAGGAGACGAGGAGCAGGTGCGTGGGGACCTGGGCACAGGTGAAACCATTAACAGAGAGGAGGAGCAGAACGGAGCAGGGGAGGAAACCAGACCTAACTGGGGAAGGGAACACACACACACACTAAAGGAGACTAAGGAACTGAAATAATAGACCTATAGAAACTACAGTGGGGAGACTAAGGCCTAGTCCACACGTAGCCGGGGTTTTTTAAAAATGAATATCCGCCCCTCCAAAAACTTGCATCCACACCACCTCATTTAAAATAAAACTCTGTCCACACGTACCCGGATAAATACGTTGTTAAGAACATGCCAGACCTGTAGGCGGCAGTACTTCCCCCGAATTGTATCCAGTCAGCGTCGTCTGTGGTCTTCCGCAAGGAGCAGTAATTCCGCTTGCAAAAACAAAGCAAAAAGCGCTTGGACAACTGATAAAGCGAGCGCAGCTCTGAGGGCATCCATGCTGTTGGCTAGTGTAAACACAGGTCGCACACATGATGTCAGCATTTTTTGTCGTGGAAAGTGACGTTGCGGACCTTAAAACTCCGGTTATGTCCGTCCACACGCAGACACCCAAAACGGAGAAAACGCAGATCTTCTCTTTGGCTGGAGTTTTTAAAAAGATCCATTTTCGTGTGAAAAAACTCTGTTTTCGTGTGGATGACAGGCCAAAACGTAGAAAAATATCTACGTTTTGGCAGATCCCCGGCTACGTGTGGACAGGGCCTAAGAGAACATGAGGAAAACCTGGAGGGAGCTGGGGACAAAAAGGGCTGGGGGCTAAAAGGGCACAGAATGTGAGGGGACACCTGGAGGGGGCTAGGGACCAAACGGACACAGAACACGACGGTCACAGCATGTTTTTAATTTTTAATCTGTTGTTTTATTTTCTCAGATGTTCTCCGAGTCACTGTGAACATGAAGGCAGCTGCAGTCAGACGTGGAGCACCTTCCACTGTAACTGCTCCAACACCGGCTACAGTGGAGCAACGTGTCACAGCTGTAAGAAACCCAGTTATATTCACCTGTGCGTTCATAAAAAATCTCATGAGCCACAGGAATTAAATGATAATTCACACACAGCTGAAAAAAAAGTGTCTATATTATGTAAAAAAAAAAATTGTTAAAAATGCATCGATTCTACCACAGAATAACGGTAATGGTAAAAAGAAGTTGCTTCCCATGATGTCAGTGTCAGATTTCACTTAAAATAGTTTAGTTTTAACCAAATTTGATTAAATAGTGTTCAGTTTTTGGTCTTCCTTTTAATTTATTTTTTTAATAGTTAGTTTGCTCCTTTTTTGCAACTTTCTGACATGAAAAGGATATTTAGCAACTGTTTCACATTTTTAAATGCTTTTCTTGAGCTAAAATGACCCTTTACAGGGTTAATGAAAGGCCTCCCAGCCCCTATTGGCACCTCTGGCCAGAATATTCCACTTGCAACTTCAGACTGGCAAGCTGCGCTGTTGGGACATACCTGGTGCAGCAATCTGATTTCAGCACTTTTTCTGCATGTTTGAGATCATGAACACAGATTGTTTGTTTAATCCAGTGATGAATCACTCCTGTAGACACTAAGGGGAGACTTTTCAGCTTTCAGATTAAGGTGTTAAAAAGCCGAATGCACAGCAAGGAGACAAACGAACACTAGAGGGTGTAAAACGCAAGCAAAAACTGCCTTGTCCCCCTTATTCTCAAATCCAGCAGGAAACTAATGTTTAAATGATTTCAACCAAATTCCTGTAAAAGCAGAATGCCGTTTTGCATGTTTATTGGAACCCACAAAACTTTTAGATATAAATATGACATATCAAGGTTTTTCTAATGGCAAAAGGAAGGTCAGAAATAAAAATATATTTGCAAACATATTCAATATATTTAGGTCAAAACTATTAACCTGATGAAATGAGTGTGTGTGTGTGTGTGTGTGTGTGTGTTTTCCTGTACATACTACTTACTGAGGACCATTTTCCCTACAAAGTGAGGACATTTTTTTAGAAGCTTACTATACCAGTTAGAGGTATGGCGTGAATTAAGTTTTAGTTAAGGTTAGAGTAGGATTACTGTACTGTAGATCAGCATTGGATATGGCTAGGGTTG